ATTGGGTCTCTCTCAATGACTCAGTGGCTGTTTCAGCGCATATCCAAAATCTACTACCTTACTTTCAGCTATGATGCTATCCTAAAACTAGTTTTCATGCCACAGAGATGAGTGCAAATGGTACTCCTGTTCCGTAAGGAACCCTTCAAATTTCCGGAGGCTTGTTGTTCAAAATGTCTGTTTATACTGTGTTTAGGAAACCAAACCGCAACCAATATGCTGGGTCTCCAATGTAATGCTTTAAAGGAAAATACGATACTCATGCATCAGGGCACATTTATTTGTGGGTGAAGGCGGTGGTTATGAAAGGCGTCGTTTGCTCGGGTTTGGACCTCAACGCCTCTACCTCTCAACGTAGTATTGCCACACAGCATGGAACTGCGAACAACTCTACCTTTCCGCGAGTTTTTCCCATTCAGTCAATCCGAAGGCTGAACCCAGGAAAAAGTGTTTGATCATCGTACAGTGTCATTTGTGAAACACGCCAACTTCTACGCCTTCGTAGTCTGACGGCGATTACTCAGCTAGGAGCAGTGTATTTTAGCCGATCTTAATGTTAAATTTGACAACAACGAATGAGAGCAAATCATGTTTTGAATCCTTGCACTAATTAGTCTCACGTTCATTTTACCTAGATCTAGTTAGAACACTGTGTAACAAATATCAGCATTGAGAGGGTCTGATTACTTTAAATAGGAGCTTTTTTAGGCTAAAAGTGTTCCCTTCAGTTTATGGAATGTTTGCTGATAAGAGGACATAGTTCAGGGTGCGATTAGGCAGGTGTACGAAATACGCCTTTGATGCTTTTGTGAACTCCCCTAGGTAGGCATCGTACTTCACTGTTTACGGCAGGAATGGTGGTCCACAGGCAGTTTTGAATGGAAACTGTTAACACAAAGGCTCTCTATTTATTTGGGATGAGTAATGGTTTTACGAGTGCAGTTTAGAGCATTTTGAAAAATGGCTGGGATATGCGTTTCCATTGCATTCTCTTTTTATGCACACATCAACTTGGGGCCTTACAGCGTGAGGCAATGAAATGGCTTCAGAAACAATGAATGTTATCGCGTTATTTGCGCTTATAGATTGATCGATCACATCAACCACTGTTAACATCAAGAAGCAATACTTCTGCATTCATAATTGGTTCAGTTGGTTGACCGTTCTGCTTTCTTGCTTTTTGCAGAGAAAACACCCTTCAAAAACATATGGGAACCCCTGCCCTGAATTAGTTTCTCCTGTCAAGAGGGATGGTATTATTGAATCATTCCCCAAAATGATTTTCATCTGAGCATCTGGTGGAGCTCATCTTTCGTTGACGTTTAGGCAGATATTGTGGAAGCAATAGTTTGGAAGCTTCTGAAGGTAGGGAAACTGAGACATGTAGTTGACGAGCGTGGGGGAAGGCGCTGATGTGTTCTATTCTAGTGTTCGCTGTCAATGAAATACAGATTTGAGTCCATAGAATGCTCAAGATAAGATAGCATTGAGCAAACAAACAGCCTAAGCCAATCCTGCAAAACTACTGCAAAGGATATTGAGTCAGTAATTATAAATGCGTTTAGAAGCAGGTCTCAAGATGAAGTCGGGTTTCGGAGAATCGTCCCTTCTACGTATGGACGTGCAAATATTAGGAATTTTAGTGACGTCGTTTTTTAATGACGCTTTGTGTTCTGGGCCAATGCACGGACTGTGAAGTACCAAAGAAGTACAGAACAGTCGAAGCAATACATCAAAAATCAGCGCTTGCTTCTATATTTTCTAGGTAGGTCCCATCTACTCGTTCAGGATGCTCTGGGAAAATTTGGCTTCTTTGTGTTCGGGAGACGAAACTACCGAGATTGTTTATGTACCTATGCAGAACTATGTACATACACCAATAGCGAAAGATATCTCCGCCAAGGCTTTTCTTTTAAGCCTTTTTGCTTCACCCTGCTACTTCTCCACGAAGTCTCCGTCCAGTTACCCATGCTAGCATACTCAGGTTCCCATGATTTTATTGACCACTTCGAATTTAGGGCAACGGTTCAATTTGGCAACTACTGAACAGAAACTTCAAAGAAACTATGTACAGTCATCACAGAAAATTCACAGACAAAAACTCTGTTTTGCTGAAGAGGCCGTTCATGGAACGCAGGGCAACGGTTTTCATTACAGTTCTACTTGAACAGAATAATGCTAAGAACATCATCACTAGATAATTGGAGCGCCCATTACGCCTGAAATGTGGGAACACGATATCGGTGGTGCGTTAAGTCCTCATCAGTCTTAACCTGGTATCGATGGTGCGTCGAGGTTATTAAGGTTACGGAGAGCATGAAAGTGTGGGTTCCTGGGCACTGTCGAAAGGGGATGATTTAGTGGGAACTGAGAGGAATGGGACGATTGACGGGTGCGTTCATTCTTCATGTGCCAGGGAGCGCTTATGAAACGAGTTGATTTTGAAGAATAGATTTCTAAATAGGTCTATGGATGCAGTAGGTAAATCAAAAGGAAAAGGTAAAAAACTTTCATACGAAAACACGCTTGTAAATGTATGAAATGGTTCATCTGATGGTAACCTCTCAAACATCATAGCCCGGTGCGACTCGAGAGATGAAATTTCGAAATCTCTGTCCAAGTGGTTAGAGATTCTCGAGCAAATGGTAGACTTTTTCGGAAAGTGTTCGATTTAGGTAGAGAAGGATTTTTTCCAGTTTTTGCACAATCTAAGTCCGTTCTTTTTATTGGTCTAATGGAATTCAGTAGGCGATCCCTTCTTTAGGATACTACTCTAAATATTGAACAGCGTTGAAAAAATAAGCAATTCAGAGCAAGTTTCCCGAGTTCAAAAATCGTTGCTGACTCATACTGTAAGGAGGAACCCTGTTTCACAGACACGTCAAAAATGAAGAATAATGAATGTTTTTGCAAATAGTTAGACCGCTTGAGAGTAACGATTTCTGAACCACGTCGTTCACCATACAGTGTCTCGTTTGGGGCAGTTAGCGTAGAGCGACTTTGTTAAAGCAGTCCACAAAGGTAAATTTGCCCTTACGAAATTCCAGCACGTTTCCATAGAGTTTTGGGCAAAATCTAGGCATTGTTCCTGAAGCCTGCATCTGGTTTTGGCTGAAACTGGGGATGTGTGTGAATGAGTGGGTGTGCTTGTCGTATGGATGTGTGCATGTGCGTGTGTAGGTGTATGTGTGTAAATATATGTGCATGTGTATGTGGGTTTATGAATAATATCTGTGCATGTGTATGCGGATGTATATGGATGTACATGTGTATTAAAATAGCTGATAGTAATTTGTAATAAGCCTTGAAAAGCGGAAGGCGTTTCGTGTTATCCGTCAAATTCGGCTGTTTAATGAGTGAGAGGTGACCTTTTGGCATCGTGGATGGTTGATGACTGGGATTGATAGAATCTGATAGCTAGGTCCAAAGAATACTTTTCTTTTTCCGTCTTAACAATGAAGCCCTGTAAATACAGTGTGTGGTAGTGGTATGGCCGGGTCGCAGCGATGGAAGACAGAAAATGGCAATAGTCGATAAAAGGCGATAATGGACATAAGAAGTCAAAAGTCATTTAGTTCCTGACCCATTTCGTATTTACGAGGTAGTGCTGACGTTTCAGTACGTTTCATACGACAGAGCGTGCTGGTACAATTTTTTGAAAGAAAAGTGAAAATGTAAATGAGGAAATCTGCTCAAATCCAATACCATGGATAAGAACAAAACGAGATTCATTCATAGCTGTCGGATCGCAAGTGTTGCAGTTTTCAGGAGGATGAGAAGGGTCATGGATGATTTGTTTTGCTAGTGCTGTTATCATGGCCTCGCTTGATTAACCCTTCAACGACAATGCGGATTTCGACTTGACGCGCCCATGGGACAGACTCCCCTCCTTTCACGCGCGACTTGCACCCACCGGTGGGAGCACTGTCCCAGGAGAAAACTTCTTTCACTGGCTTACTGAATTTAGCAACTGGTAAGGAACAAAAAAGTATGGTGGCACCCAAAATTGGGTGCCAATGTCCCATGCGTCAGTCAAAGTGGCACCCACTGGTGGGTGCCATTGTCGTCAGAGGGTTAATCAGGTTGCATGGTAATAGAAAAGTTGCTGCGCTGGTAAACCCGCTAAAGGCAAGCCTTAAATACAAAGTGATCGACTGCTATGAAACCAAGAGGAACTGATCGACATTTGGTATCATAATAGTAGCCGCCAAGGCGGAAGCGGTGTGGCAAGTTGCGCACTATCTCACGCGTCGAGTCACGGCTTCGAATCCCGGATCGGTAACCGCCTAGGCCATCCAAGCCTTCCCTCCCTACTGGTTGGTTAGCTAGAACCAAAGATGTCTGAGAGGATAAAAGTTCTGATTTTTTCATGGGCTAGCCACCGCAAGTTACTGTATCGAACACATAGCACTCATTACGCCACTACGATTCTGGATTTAGGTCGAATGTGGGGCCGCATCCTTGAGAGCGGTTAATTAACGCCCACAGACCTTATCCTTCACTTTAATGGTATTTTGTACAACAGTGCGTCGCTCTTCTTAGGTCGTACTTCCTTCCTTCAGGGCTCTCCTTGTCAGAATTTTAGTGTTCTCGTAATTGCAAGCATTTCAGTTCGAGGATTTCTTGTTTTAAAATATATTAATTGTTTTGAGAAGAGGATTGGCAATTCAGCTGACTTTCGACTTTGTCACTAGAAAGAAGGTTGTTTGATCACTTTCCAAGTTTCGATCTCTTTGAGATTAACATGACAAAGAACACTACATGTGTTCGTTAGGCCTTCATTGTTGATAAAGCCATCCGTTGCTCACTTTTAGCGCCGTAAGTTTTCCAGATCTGAGCCGTACTACAGCTCCAGACCGTACATGCAACATCAACTTTCTGTTCTTGAGGATACAAAGCGTTGAAAAAGCCCATCTCTCCCATGTAGAATAACGCTGAATTGTTTCAGAGCGGGTTTGCAAGAATCTCACTGGCGCTAAAATTAGTATTTACTTTTGATTATGCGTTCCCAACAATGGGTTTGCCATATGTTTGAGGAAAGTGCAAAGTTGGGCAAAGCGATATTAATCCTGCCAGAACGTACACCGCTGACATTGTATGTGATAGGTGGATTGGTTAGTGTGACCTTGAGACCATAGACGTTAAGAGCTGTCAAATATCAACTCTGAATAGTGCTGCATCACCACTTAAGAACATGAGAGCAGTGATTCCAACTTAAGTAAACATGTTGCCGCTCAAATCAGGCTTGAGTCAGTCTTGCTGCGGAAAGTCGTGTCAGAGGGACTACTGACTTTTATCTTCCGGGCATACCGATCTCGCTCAATAGAAGGCACAATCATTAATTTTTCGGTGAAAGGAAATGTGCAAGGCTGACTCATTAACGACATGGCAAAGCGTTCAGAGCAATTGTTTGTCATCAATAAATGCGTGGTACATGCATGTTTTCAAATACAGGAACAAAAGCATATGGGAGATCTAGGGCGAAGGTTCAACTTAGACACACTTAACAAGCAAATATTAATGTAAGTAGCTATGACAAGGACTGCTTTTTCCATTGTTTGATTGCTCAAAAAAAATCTCATGACAGCTTTTGAATTGTTGAGTTTTACTTTTCGCGGTAAGGATCTCAGTTACCGGAGTCATAATTATGACGGAGTACGGTGTGAAAGCCCTCTGAATAAGAGTTAGATTTGTTCGAGAATGCTCCAATTCACTTCTTAGCCTACTCGATGGAAGCACAGGGATCAAATACATGGTTTTCTAGGAATTAGGTGCAGAATTGAATGCAGTGCAGTGATTGTACGAGAATTTAATTCATGATAATCAGAGAAAAATGCTTTTGCAACTCGCTGAATGGGTCGTTTAAAAACTTTCTTTGAACTGATTGTGAGAGCTATTGAGGATTACTCCTGCTACTCATTAGGATATCGGTGCTTAAGAACTTTTAGGACTTCCCCAAAATAGCAAATACAAAACAGGAAAAGGATTCACGATCCTCAAAAGGATCCTGTGAATGCTGCGGGAGCACTCACATATGAGTCACCGTAAGCATGATATCATCACTGTCAAATCAATCGAAAACCGCGAGATCAGCCTCGAAACAAGTGCTGGCAGAGGCTACCAATGTCCATATCGTTTTTTGCTCCCAATCCAATCCGACGACAAGTCTCTGACCTGACCCTCAGAACAACATATCGAACCACTGTGCTTTCATTGTACCTCATAATGGGTGTAAAGCGTCAAACAAGTAGTGGTTCCTATTCGATTTGGGAAAAGTCATAAGACTAATTACTTCCTCTCCACAGGATTGTAATGCATGCGTTTTAAGGTGTCGTCTCGAACGCTAGACTCTCCACATGTAACAAAGACGGTGTCCGGTTGTGTCAGTGTGGTTCACCAGCCATTCGATCTCCCGAAGTTGGTGTTAAGATCTGAGCGATGTCTGGTCATTTTGCCAGCAGTGGAGCACGGTGAGTGGCGCCAGGCAGGCTGCCGTAGAATTACTTGCCCGCATAAACCAGGGCACATATTATAAGCAACCGATGATTGCCGGCCGTTTTCTGATGAGCATTTACATTTGGATTTTAGGATTCGGCATTCCGAGGTAATGACAGTTTCAACAGGTTCTGTAGTTATCAGTATGAAGTAACTTGACTGCTATTTCTAATCTCACTACGGTCCTTTCCGTATCGAGACTTTAGTTTACTAGCAAAAAAAGCAATTTAAAGCTTCATTCAAACCATTTGGAGCAATCAATTGGACAGAGTCATGCTGCACAATCACGGTCTGACGTTTGCTTTGGTTTTGGGAAAGCGATGTCCGCGAGTCTGGCTGTCCTTGCCAAGCATCATGTCAGCTGCAACTGCTGTACATACAGAACCGCTTTATGTACATGCTGGCAGTAATGGTTGCGATGGAAATGAGGGGAAATTTTGTCGTGATTGCTTACTATAGGATGTACCTTTTCTGCATTTTTCCCCAAGTGTAGTAATTATGCAAAAGAATCTTGGGGCTGTCAGAAACGTGAGAGTTGTCGAAATTTGTTTGCAAAACGGAAAACAATCAATGAATGCATTCCCACAGAATTGTATATATGTGGTTGATCGTCATCGGCGCTATCCTATCGAAAAAAAGGACTGCTCGGGCTGGAAACATATTTTTCAGTAAATTTGGTAGCTTACGGAAAAATTTAAAGATCTACAAAGGTAAACAAAGATGAAACTGAACTCGTTGACAAAGTAATAGGTTTACCAATCTGCTTCCAAACATTCAGCGTCATAAAAAATCAATAGGTATGTTTATCCATTGATTGTTGGACGTGCTCATGGAATGAATGTATTTGCACCTGTTATCGTATAATAGGATTAGCATTGAGCGTGGCATATGAATATTCAACTTCAAATTCGTGGTGGAATGAATACACCAAGCGAAGATGAAAAGTATGGGGTCAAATAAAAGGGACAATTTTCCTAAGACAGGAAACCGAAATGTACTTCATCTTGCTTTATGACCCCTGACACTTTTGACGGGTCCGACCACGTGGGAATCGCTGGCTGTGGATGCCCCAGAACTTCGAATCCTGGCTCCTTTATTCCGACGGCCATCTTTTTGGCAGAATGCCTGAGTGTACTCTAGTGCAGGATGGCTCCTCTTCGTTCTCCAGGGCGTTTAAGCTGCAGGCTACAATTCCTTACGCGATTCATTGCTCAGGTCTTACTGTTCTCATACTCTCACACCGCGCGATGAAGGTGTCACCCAACTCCAAAGGAAAAATCGCAAAGTACTTTTACTTTTTGAATTTTCCTCATATATGAGCGCAGTAGTCAGACAATAATCTACCAATCTACGTGGAGCTTGGAAATTATTCATAATACCCTCCTTGTACAGTCTAAAAAGCAAGAATGATTTGCAGCTGACGATCAGGGTTTGCAAAAGTTTGAGAGATGGAATTCTCCTACGTGTTTCAGTTATGTATTCATTTCCCATTTAGGGCAATAATTTATTCTTCCCTGTGACATAGGCTACAGTAGCCCCATTCTCGCCAAGTAGGGAACGATCCTGTTAGCATAGCGTTTTGCCATATGGGAACACTTCGTCGTAATGTCGACAAGCTAGGAATTTGCAGTGTTCCATCCCATGAGTGAAAATTGACGTGGGGTAAATGGGACGGACTACGCTGATGAGCCCGCCGTCAAGGTGGATAGGTGCAGGATGTTCGCTAGTGTTCATTCGGCTTGACTTGCATTGTAATGGTGCTACAAAAATCTTACTTGATACATCTGTGTTTGAGCGCAATACAAATGTACTAAATTATATTTGTATTATGCTCAAATATAGATAATCTTTAAAGTATTATTAGATGAGCAGTCACGAGCAGTCTCCACCTCGGTCCACGAAAAAACTTGATCCCTGCACCTGCAAAGCGACGTTTGTACTTAAACAACTTGTCCGTTAGCGGCTCTACCATGAGCAGTATATATATTGATTTCAATTCAAACTTCATTCGGTCTGGTGTCGTGGAGCGGACTGCTATGTTATGTATTCAACTATTGATGGTATTATTGGGCGAAATGCGGTGCAAGCCCGTCGGCAATTATATGCGAAATCAATAGCAAAACGATCAGCTCCGATTGTGCCGTTGTTAAGCTGAAAAAGTTAAACATTGGGGGCTGGGCCCACTCTGTTTTAATCATTCGGGAGATGAGCGCTGAATTCTAAAGAGCTCATTAGAACGCAGGGGAAAGTTTGATGAGTGATTCATCTTCTAAAATAACTTTCTAAGTTTCTTGTTGCCGTCCGCTGCCATGAACCAAGATCTATCGTGCTCCTAATTACAGCTCTCGATCTGCTTTTGTCGGCTATACACGATGAGCTGGCTTCGTGCTTTGATACGTGCCTAGCGGTTGAAGATGAATCGTTTTGGGCTCAAGTGGCTCCAATGATCCGGCTCGAGCAGGACTACGATACAGAATGTAGGTGCATTTATACAGGCGTTATGATTGATTGGGCTGTTTCCGTGATTGTATTGAATAGCCGGAGCATTCTTCTATCAGATAGATGTCGCAGTTAATATTTTCACTGCTCTCTTCAGAACGTATAGAAATTTATTTATTTTTTTATTTATATACTGCACTCATGGTGCACCAAACACTCATTCAAATGTATTAGTAGGCTGAAACACAGCGAAGCAAAAACA